ATTTTCAAACAGTTGAGCTGAAACCGAAGAGCGTGGTTGATGCCGTTATTGGTAATTCTTCATTTTTTTACTGTACCTTAATTCATGTAACACTTGTTAAATATATTTTAACGGTACTTGAAATTTGGTTTGACTTTAATCCCAGTAAAACTTCGATTCCAATTTTTTTGTTCAAAGTAACACTGCAATAGAAATTCGGTGCGTACACTTTCAAGTGAAACATACTTTTTATTACTCCTTATTTTTCATTTTTTCCGTATTATTATGCGTTTTTTGCAGCTATGCAACGCAGAAGACGCACATTGACGAGAGGTTATCTGTGTGTGTGTGTCTGTCTGTCTGTCTGTGTATTGTGTTCGTCTGTACCGATTTTTCATCTCGAGACCGGCAAAAGCTACGGGGCTGAAACTTGGGGGGTGTACCGATTTTTCATCTCGAGACCGGCAAAAGCTACGGGGCTGAAACTTTGAGGGTATAATCTACAATACCGATTTTTCATCTCGAGACCGGCAAAAGCTACAGGGCTGAAACTTTGGGGACATAATCTACATGCGCGTAGGGGCCCCTATCCCCAAAATGGGCGGTTTTACCCGAGTGGTACCCGCGTAAAAGCCCGCCAAAATTTTTTAGGGCAAGTTAATAATTCGCAAACCAGGAAAGCTAGAAAGCTGAAAATTTGAGGGAATGTTCCCCGTTCAAGTATGTGCTAATAGGCTCAAACCCAACACCCGGGTAAGCGTGGTACCCGAGTACGGGCCCACCAAAATTTCCCCCGCGTAAATCCATAATTCGGGGATCTGAGATGCTAGAAAGCTGAAATTTTAAGGGTATGTTCCCCGTCCAAGTAGGTACTAATGAGCTCATACTCAACCCCTGGTAAGCGTACCAGCGTACGGGCCTGCCAAAGTTTTTCCCGGGCAAGTTCATAACTCGGGGATCTGAGTTGCTAGAAGAATGTAACATTAAGAGGATGTTTCTCGCCCATATTAGTCTCAACGAGATCAAACCCAGCCCACGGTTATGCGTGGTACCTACGCACGGGTTCACCAAAGTTTTTCTCGGGTAAGCTTATAACTGGAGAGCTTGTAAAGTTAAAAGACTGTAGTTTTAGGAGGATGTTCCCCGTTCAAGTAAGTCTCAATGAGCTCAAGTCCAGACATCGGGTATACGTGGTACCCGAGTGTGGGCTCGTGAAAAATCTTTTCCAGTAAATTGCTAACTCAGGAGCCAAGAAAGCTAGAGAGCTGAAGTTTTAAGGAGTGTTTCCTATCAGTTTTGGCGGCCAGTCTTAATTTGTTTAGCTAGAAGGATTTGCCAAAAAACCGGTGCCGGTAGTGGCAAAAACTACGGGGAACTATGCAAAAAAAGCATCTTCGCATGGGCAGCCCGTGCGTTGACCAATTATTATATGTTATTTAAGCGCAACCTCCCGATCCTCCTGGTTCCTGAATTGAATTATGCGAACAGGCACAAACATGCAGGCGGACGAGGTCTCTGCACGACATCGTTGCATTAGTGAAATGCGCCGAAAAACACAAGAAAGTGCTACTTGCAAGCCCTTAGAATAAGTTGCTCTATGTAACTATACAGCTATGAAGTGTTGGTTCAACAGCGGTTTGTTCGTTTCAGGAGTGGTGCCGACTTATTATTTTATTCCTGCTGTTTTCTTCCTGCTTTCCGTTTTGCTTATTTTCGCATGTTGCAGTTTTTGGCGTTGTCGCCGGGGTTTCTATGATAGAACCGTCCGGTTCAGCGGTGGGTTCTCAATTCCTTAATTTACTGTTAATTCCTTGAGTCATCAATTCCTTAATTCACTATTAAGTGCAATTGTCCAGTGGGTTTTGCATCGTAAAACATCACTGCCCAAAATGTAATTTTTTTTTTGTAAAAGCAGTCAGGTGCGTTTATTGTGCGAATATGTAGTGTGGGATATAACTAAAGCTGAACAAAATATGTTTCATTGAATGTTTTTACATAAATTACATTTTGTTGCATTTTTCAGATGACCAGTCCGATGTGACAGTAAAATGCGAGCCATTAGACGGTGGTAGCTTTCTTCCATACACGTACAATTCATCTTCGAATGAAAGCCACGAACAACTGCTTTGTTCGAAAGTGAGCATATGAAATAAATAAAACGTGCATTAGTAAATTTGATTTCGAAGACTTTTTTTTTGGGAAATTCAAGGGACGCCAATCAGTTACCGTGGCATTAGCTTGGTTCTTGCAGTTGGGTAACTGCTCGGTGCATCAGCACAT